GGGGGGGGGGGGGGATGGGGGTGGAGGGTGGGGGGTGCGGGGAAGAAAAATAAAAAAAAGAAAGACATAAAAAAAAAAAAAGCACAGTGAAAAAATCTTGTCAATGGAGAAGGGAAGCAGATTGGGGCAACCCTGTCTTTGTTAGTCATCTTCTGTTCTCGGATGCACGCAAATATGCGTTTAAGTAGGAGAGGTAAGTTTAGAGGACAACTGCAAAATGATTTACATTCATTCTACCTGAATGGATATGACAGGCTTACAAAGAACCAGCCTTACGAAAATCTTCAATGATTATTCCTCGCATCCCACCCCACCAAAAACAGCCTTTCTTTTCCCTTCTTGCAAGTTAGGCTGACCAATAAATAATTGGGGATGTCAAAGCAGTTGTGCATATGAGTTTCCTTCCCCCCGTCCTTTGTTATTACGGATGAAAAATACTAGGAATATAATGAATACATAAAACTTACACCTGTCTAAAAGGTCCGGTGATATCACAGACACCACATAGCCCGGCACCTGGGTGCTAAGGGATGTGTCTAGAATCGTGCATTTCCTTATTTTACGATTTCAGAAGAGTTTTGTTTGTGGGAGTGATATAAGATTTTAAACCCTCCTACCCACCTCCCCCAAACGAGCAGACATGTTTTCATTAATTCCTAATGTAAAACCTCTGCTTCTCTTCCTGAATGCTTATTGCTTTATAATAATCAGTTAATGAAACAGAAAAAATAAAAATCTTCTCTACAGTAATAATTTGATCTCCAGACAGCAGTAAAATACCCCATTGCTGGGTGGTGAGATTGTGACATTCGGGGGAACTCAAGCCAATCAGTGAACAGATAATATGAGTTAATTTAAATATTGTATTTCTATTGGACACACGGAAGTAAAGCTTTCTCATTTTAAAGCTTAAAAATGAACACTTTACTATCATGATGTCACAGTCGTTACACAAAGCCCTATGTTGATAATACTGAAATGATGTTAAATTTCCCCGATTTGTTTTTGGATTTCCCAGGATCATTACAAAAATACATGATGTGTTAAAAAAAAAAAATTATACGTAAGGCACTTAACTTTGGCGTTTCCTTCACCTAGAAAAATCAGTCTTTTGGCAGTACTGGAAGTAACTTGAAGCCATTTCCATTTAAGTCAGACATTCCATTTTTTGCAAAACAAATGCATTCAGAAGGCTCAAAATTATACAATAGTGTGCAACTTCTAAGTGAAATGTCAAATTCATTTTTATGGAACTACAAATCAATTCAATTTGTTCTTTTTTACTTCCCAATTAGTGTCTCAATGTACTTTGCAAAGAGTGATTATTTCCTGAATTTTTACAGTTAAGAAATCTCTAGAATAAGAGACTTAAATAAGTTTGCTGAAGATTCATGATTGTCAAGATGTTAGGCTGCATGGACTAGGGAAACGTTATTTTAAAGTAAATTAAAAAGATGACTGCAATGCTAGGCCATGAGGCAATAATTTACTCTGCCAAAAGGTACAGGGCCAAGATCCAAGGATTTAACTAGTCCTTTGCTTTAAGAAGCAGATATTGATTTCTTAAAAATAAAGAAGACGGTATGTGTGTATGCAATATTCTTTCATATCCACATCTCAGGGTATGTTAGAGCTATTTTTTTTCCCTTTGCAATTGAGCACAGTTACATCCGTTAGTTCTTCCATTTCTCCAGCTGTTAGATGAGAATGTCATTTTCTTGCCTCACAAGGGGTCTCAAGAAATTAATGAGATATTTTCCATTTAGCTCATTAACTCTACTGGAGAAAACATTGGAATCTGCATCTTCCATCAACAGGGGTTCTAAAATATATGTTTAATAGCTGACAAAAGTTTCATATGTACAAGTTCTCAAAAGTAAAGCTGTTGCTTTGAATTGTTTAGGTTATATGCTTATTTGATCTTTGCTAATTTCTTTTTTAATTTCTTATATCACCAAACCTAGAAAAATTGATCTCCAGGTTAAAAGTAAAGGAACAAAGCAAACACAACAAAATACTACATCCCCTAATACTTGGGTTTGAAGGATTCTAAAGGTTTTCAAGCTCTCAGCGTATTACATTTACTATATTGATTGTTTTAAGAAGACTGATGTGGTTTGCTTAATTTGGTTCTCGTAATAAATATATATAATTTTATTTTAAAAAGCAATCACCTTCTTTCCAAAATTAATCTGATATTTCAGATTTTTGCCAAATGGTACACAGCCTCACAATGGGCAAACACCATGTTTTTGTTCTATGCATTGTTTATGTGAAAATGTATGTCAGAAAAGAAGCAACCCTTGGTAAATGTGGAGAATGATAAGCTAGAATAAAATGTTTTAAGAAAATATTTTTAATGATTTATTTAAAATGCCATCTCTCGGGGCCGGCCCGTGGCTCACTCGGTAGAGTGCGGTGCTGATAACACCAAGGCCCCGGGTTCGGATCCCACATAGGGATGGCCGGTTCGCTCACTGGCTGAGCGTGGTGCTGACAACACCAAGTCAAGGGTTAAGATCCCCTTACCGGTCATCTTTAAAAAAATAAAATAAAATAAATAAATAAATAAAAAATAAAATGCCATCTCTCCCACTTAAAGCTTGTCAATAAAGATTTTAAAATATATATCTTTGGTGTTCTCAACTCTTACCAAAATCTAAAGCTATATATGACAAAGAGCCTTGTGTAAGTTTTCTGGAAGCTATCTTGGTAAGAAGGTCTCCCTTTGGGGACTTTTGCATAGAAACATTTTCTGATAGATTACTCAAAAAAATTCACTAACCGGAATAAGTGACCAATAGAAAGGGAGATTATACACTTACATTGTAATAATGGTTTTCACATCCTAGTTGCTGCAAAAGGTGACCTTTTTTCACAGTGACACCTAAGTAAAAGTTTCTAGGACATTGTACTTATCTATTTGGGTAGCAGAGTAGCAAAAGAATACACTAGATCTAAACAACTTCCACCAGATTTAAAAAATCATGCCTTGGAAGTTGCAAATAACCATAATTGTGAACATCCCAAACAGTGAGATTTCTTCATAATTTTAATGAGTTTTTTAAAAAATTAAGAATCTGGTATGTTCCTTTCCAAAATGCTAAACGTTTCATTTGTCAGATTTTTCTCTCTGCTCTGCCGCAAAACAAGTCCCAAAGTGTTATTATAATTCACTTTTAATTTTAAAGCTAGCATTTCTAAGACTTTCCTATTCAATTTAAGATCCAGCCTTTTGAAAACTCAGCAATTTATGTTTTCTGACCTTTATGTTGACAATTTCTTTCTCTCTGAAAACTTTAAGACTTGTTCCCTTGTTTAACTCATTTAACAAACATTTGTTGAGCTTCTACTCTGTATGAGGCACTGTGCTAGATCTTGCAAGGAAAGAATAATCAAGAGCTGGGACTAATTTACAAGCAGTTGTATCTGTGTAGGGAAAGCCCGAACTGGTGGAAGTGGGAGTGATGGAATGAACAGAAACAAAAGCATGGAGCTGACTGGTAAGAGGAGCCATATTTCTTATCAAGTGATTAGATAATGAAAGCAAAAGAGAATGAGAAGTAAGAATTGACTCCCAGGTTTGGAACTTGGATAACTGGGAGGCAGAAGACACCATTAACCAGAGGTAGCAAAAGTTAAAAAAGGAGCTAGTTTGGTAATGAAATTAATGAATTAGTTTTAGACATATTGAGTGTGAAATGCTGGTGGGATATTCAAATATTGATGACTTATATGCAGTTGGAAGTGAAGAGCTGAATTTAGGAAGTACTTATAGGTGATGAGGCTGTTAAGGGAACTGTAAAGTAACATTGCCAAGGAGGAGACTGTTGAGAGAGAAGAAGGTTGAGGTTAAACAAATAAATAAAAATGCCCATCCCCCTCCGTCAGACAGACCCAAACCCCAAAGGAATGCCTACATTTAAGAAACAGGAAGAATCATGGAAGGACCAGAGAAACTGAAAGGAAGGAGAAATACCAAAGTCATAGACAATGAGAGAAAAGGAGGGAGTGGTCAGCAGCGTAAGGAGCAAGCAGAAAGTTCAGAAGGACGACAGATGAGAAGACAGCATTGGACCTGGTAATGAGGAAAGTCATTAGCAATCTTTGAGGGAGCAGCTTCAGAAGAGCAAGTCGGACCGTGAGGGATTAATATGAGGAACACAGGCTTATAAAGTCAGGTTAAGAAAGCATTTTGTTGTTAATGACAGCACCATCTCAGTTGTGAAGGTTTTAATGAATTTTCTTGATGTTTTATGAATAAAGTGATACTTAAATAAATATAGCATGCTTTCTTCTTCTGGAAGTCTTTAAAACTCTTCTACTACACACAATTTAAATCTGATTCTATTGAAAGAGGAGAA